AAATTTGAAGCAGTTATATGTGATGTACCAGCTCGGTCATTTCTTAAGTGCATTAAAACACGTAATGGATACAATTGTTGTGAACGATGTATTCAACATGGCGAGAGGTATCAAAAAATAGTTTTACCTGACTTATCTGCTCCACTAACGACTAATATAGACTTTTTAAATCAACATGATTCAGAACACCATACTGCTACATCTCCTTTCACAAAGTTAAAATATAATATGGTAAGTGGATTTTCAATAGATTATATGCATTGCATTTGTTTGGGTGTTGTCCGAAGAGTTTTAAAATAATGGATTTGTGGCCCACCATCATGTAGGTTGTCCCAAAGTATTATTGCAGAAGTTTCAGAAAAACTTTCTACTTTACGACCATATATTTCAAAAGAATTTTCTAGAAAGTCTCGTTTCTTATATGAATTTAGACGATGGAAAGCTACTGAGCTCCGTCTTTTTTTGATTTATACAGGGCCAGTGGTTTTGAAAGGATTATTGTTACCAAATCATCATCAAAATTTTATTGACTTATCTGTTGCTGTCGGGATTTTATTGTGCACTTCTTTACTTAAACATTATGTTGGGTATGCTGATCAGTTGTTGCAATACTTTGTGCAGACTTTTGAAGAGCTATACGGTAGAGATCTGCTAGTATATAATGCTCATTCATTAATACACTTAACTGATGATGCAAAACACTATGGTGCACTTGACAATTACTTTTCATTTAAATATGAAAGTTATTTTGGTCAGTTAAAAAAGTTTGTTCTCAAGGCTCAATTACCTTGTTCACAAATAGCCAAAAGAATATTTAAAAATGCTGATATTTATACCTCTCAACGTAACCATATTGTTGGTTTTAGTAAATTACACACTGAAGGTCCTGTAAATATAACACTGAGCCATTACCTTAAATTCAAACAGTATCAAAACAAGAAGTATTTCATGTTTAACAGTGTTGGAGATAATTGCTTTGAAATACATGGTAAAATTGGAGTTGTTAGAAATATTTTAAAACTAACTGCCAGCGATGGTAATGCTTATATTATGTCATTAATGCTTATATTCTTTTTGAAGAGTTTGTTATCGAATAATCTTTTTTTTAAAATCCATGTAATTCTCAAAAGTTAAATATTTTTATTGTCAAAAGATGTTGATGGTTTGAATGAGTGTTTACCGCTCAGTGGCGTAGTAAAAAAATATCTTAGTTTACCATAGTTTTAGTAATTTATTTAATTAAATTTAATTAAAATTCTTTCAAAAGTTTCAAAACGCTCCGTTTTACAATATTTTTTACTGTTAATTTCCTAAAAATTTCCAAAATTTATGTTAAAGTGAAAAAAAAAAAAAAAAATTTAATTCAAGTAACTTTAAAATGTTCACATTAGGGATCGTCCATAAATTACGTAGCGCAAAATTAAACTTAAAGACTGGAGACAAAGCATTAAAAGTTTTGCTCTCAGAGCCATTAAGGGTGGAATGCAAGAAGCGAACTTGAGTCAAGCTCGACTTGAACTTTATATTATAACCAATAGCGACAGAGTATGGGTTTTCCCCTCAAAAAATACTCTGTCGCTATTGGTTACAAAATAAAGTTCAAGTCGAGTTTGCTTCTTGCATTCTACCCTAGTTAAACCAAGTATATAAACAACCTTTAAAGTCTAGCGAAAACCGCCGCGCAAAAGAGCAAAATGATCTCCTACTTATATTTTTAAAATAAGTTTTGCGTTGCGTAATTTATGAACGATCCTTTAAAGGGAAAACCCAAACAACATTTAGGGTGGAATGCAAGAAGCAAGACTTGAACTTTATATTATAACCAATAGCAACAGAGTATGGATTTTCCCCTCAAAAAATACTCTGTCACTATTGGTTACAAACTAAAGTTCAAGTCGAACTTGACTCAAGTTTGCTTCTTGCATTCCATCCTTAAACTCGAGTTTGAAAGAACTTTTTTGTATGACGTCGTTTATTAACTACAAAAGCGCATTATTTAGACCATTATTACGAACTGGAACTTACCTGAAACTTAACTGAAATTAAAATAAAGTTATAAATTTATTTTAATTTCAGTTAAGTTTCAGGTAAGTTCCAGTTCGTAATAATGGTCTAAATAATGCGCTTTTGTAATTAATAAACGACGTCATACAAAAAAGTTCTTTCAAACTCGAGTTTAAGGGTAGAATGCAAGAAGCAAACTTGAGTCAAGTTCGACTTGAACTTTAGTTTGTAACCAATAGTGACAGAATATTTTTTGAGGGGAAAATTCATACTCTGTTGCTATTGGTTATAATATAAAGTTCAAGTCTTGCTTCTTGCATTCCACCCTAAATGTTGTTTGGGTTTTCCCTTTGCCGTTAAGTTTTATCCAGCAGAATTTTTTTTTATAAAACGAACCAAACTTTAACAGATTAAAAATAACGCGGTCAATAAATAAACTCTTTAAAAGCCCAACTTATATTTATTTTGTTTTAAAAACAATACTAATACTGTGCTATAGATGTAAGATAGGTAAGTTTTAAAATTATACTGATGTATATTAAAAACAAGTTCTGCTTAAAACCGAAAATACTATTTTTCTTTTTGGATTTAGTAAGAAATAGTGAAAATATTTTAGGTTTCACGGAACATAAAAATAAAATATTTTAATGGAAATAAAAAAAAGCCGAAAAGCAGTTCAAACATAAAACTGCTTTACGTTCTTATTGGAGATAAGGCATTTCCTCTTAAAAACTATATAATGAAACCATATCCCAAGGAAATATTGTCTTTAAAAGAAAGAATATATAATTATAGATTGTCACGTGCACGTAGAATAATAGAAAATACTTTTGGGATTCTGGCAGCAAGATGCAGAATTTATCGCAAACTAATTATTGCAAAAGAAAAAACTGTAGTTATTGTTACTAAAGATCCAGCTGCTCTGCATAACTACCTTATACATGGTTGTCAGTTTGAACCTTTAAATCAATAGTGCCCTTTAAGATTTGTGGATTTCAAAACAACCTCTGGCTTGCAAACTGGAGAATGTCGAAGCAATATTTCAGATTAATAAGGGATAACAACTTTACAAAAACAATTAGGCTTAAATAATTATTCTCGTGATGCAAAAGCAATAAGAGAATCATTTCGAGACTTCTTTAATTCTCCTCAAGGTAGGGTTCCATGGCAATATGATATGGTTTCTCGCACTCAAAATACATTTGATCAAGGATAAACTTACTTTTCCTTTTTATATATTGCACACACACACACACACACACACACACACACACACACACACACTCACACACATAAATATGTATGTATATATATATATATATATATATATATATATATATATATATATATATATATATATATATATATATATATATATATATATATATATATATATATATATATATATATATATATATATATATATATATATATATATATATATATATATATATATATATATATATATATATATATATATATATATAGCCGCGGATCCAGCATTTTTTGATGTTTGAGATAACTAACTTCCAGACATGGAACAAACTCCAAAAATTTATATGTTTATACTTATGTCAAATAAAGATGATTTGCAAAAAATTGCGACGATTGGAGTCTGGGAACAAAAAAGCCCCAAAATTTTGGCCACACAAACCCCAAACAAGAGAGCAACAAGTTGATAAAATATTTTTTGTACAATTCTTAAGTAAGTTTATATTAATCGATAAATTCTAAATTTCATACAATAATCTCTTAGTGTTCAAAAAACATGACCTTACAAAATTTGTAACCCCCTCAAATTGAGGGGGGTTAAAGCTTTGTGCAATTATAATTTTTGAACACTAAGAGATTATTGTATGAAATTTTGGGGTTTGTACCATGTCTGGAAGTTAGTTATCTCAAACATCAAAAAATGCTGGATCCGCGCCTGATATATATATATATATATATATATATATATATATATATATATATATATATATATATATATATATATATATATATATATATATATATATATATATATATATATATATATATATGTTCTTAAAGAAAAAAGCAACAATAAATTAGCAAAAACACTTATTTAAATTTCTTCTACTGTCTGTTTTACTTTTACCAGAAAACTTCCTTATGAACCTGGTGAAGGTGAAACAGATTATAAACAGAGTATAAAAAATTTATTTTATCTATTTATATTTAAGAACATCAAGCACTCTTTTTGTAGAATACGCACACACAGGTATATATATATATATATATATATATATATATATATATATATATATATATATATAAGAAGAAAGCTAAGCGATTATATTTTCTAAATAATCATAATTATATATTTCAGCATTCAGAATTTTGTAGGTCGTGTAAATAAATACCCATATATACATATATATATATATATATATATATATATATATATATATATATATATATATATATATATATATATATATATATATATATATATATATATATATATATAAGAAGAAAGCTAAGCGATTATATTTTCTAAATAATCATAATTATATATTTCAGCATTCAGAATTTTGTAGGTCGTGTAAATAAATACCCATATATACATATATATATATATATATATATATATATATATATATATATATATATATATATATATATATATATATATATATATATATATATATATATATATATATATATATATATAATATTAATACTAATGATAATAATCGTATCGTTTTGATATGTTATGAATGTTTTTCAATTATTTAGTGTTGCATTAGTTTTATAACTATTAGACTAGTTGTTCTGTTATTATTTCCTAATTTTTTCTTTTGGCTGTGTCTCTTATGTCAGTGTATTTCAACTATTTTTGTAAATATTTGATAATAATATAATGAACAATTATTTTGGTTCTATAATGAATTGTCATTTATTGCATTTTTTATTGTTATAAATATAAATGAAGTTTTGTTTTACATATTGTTATTAAAATTTACTTGGCAAAATAAATAGCTACCTTCTATATTTAATAAAGCAGATATATATGCCTCCATGCTTCAACTTTTAAAGGTGTTTCTTTATATGGGCGAGTTGTAGTATTCTATAGACACGGAAGCCTTCTCACTTCTTCTATCAAATGAGCTTCCAAGTTTTTGCTTGTGGAAATACTTTGTATTCTTGAAAAATCAACGTTTAAATTGGTCATTAATAAATTAAGTTTTCAATAATCAATGTTGGGAATCGGACAGGTCACTCGAAAGTTTAATATGTTAACATATTATTCGGATATTTATACAATTCAAAATAGCAGTAAAACTGAAATAAAATTGAAATTGTAAGTAAATAATTAATGATTTACATTTTCCATCAAAGTAAGCAATTTAAATTTTTTGCATAAATAACTTTTATATGATTACAAACATAATTATAGAAAAGTAATGTTTATAACAAAATTACAAAAATGGAAAATTTCTTGGAAACTTACCAACTTTTTTAGTTTTTAATTCTCGAAATTTAAAGCAAGGCGATTGGCTGCTTATTTTGATGCTTGCTTATTCACGGGAAAAAGTTGATTTGAAATCAACTTCTTCAAAGACAGACATGATGGGAAAAATTAAGCTGCGTGAAAATTAAATTACAAACTGTGCATGCTCGCGTGATTATTTTTTCCATCCCTTTCCCTTTCCCGTAGTAAAACGGATGAGTGGAAACTGACCTTTAGACCATGATCACAGTATTTAGCTAGTCTGGAAACGCAGGTCGTTTTCTTATAATACTTAAAAATTATTTAAGTTCCTCTCTATACTAGTGCTCAGCCTACTTTAGAGTGCATCAAATTGTAAACATTATATTTCGCTATAGTTAAGTTGCATATATTCTGGGATAAATATTAAAATGGCAGGGAAGCAAATTGTATTTGTTTTGGTTATTCAGTTTTAAGTTATTATTTTGGATTGCATATATATTTCGTATTCCGAATAAAAATGATGAGTATAGCATAAAATAAAGAAATCAACTGTTGATTAATGTAGTTAAGTGACAGAATTTGTAGTGGTATGAATATGCATATTCAAACCATATAGCTTATATCATATAAGCATTTAAGTTATATGCTATATGAAAATATGTTATAAATGCAACATATCATCGACTGTATAACTTGATGGATGTATATGGGTATAAATGCTTAGTTACTAAGCATTTATACCCATATGCATCTATCATAGGGTTCCCATTCTCCTCTTTTTTCATAGGGTTCTCCATAGGGGTCCATTCTCCATAGGGTTCACATTCTCCTCTTTTTTCCGTAGGAGAACGCGGCGCTAAACTAATTAAAATTGAAGTTTTCACTGCGTTCTCGTACGGAAAAAAGAGGAGAATGGGAACCCTAGCTTAGTATCATATATTCAGAGTATATTTATTTAAAATGTTAGCTAATATAGGTACGCGTAAATCCGACCTTAACGAAGCCGTTTTCTTCGTCCAAATTTTGTACCACGCTTTTTTCTATATTTTTAAGAATGGTATGATATGAACATGTTTTTCTGTGCTATTTTTTTAGAAATTTGTATCAACATATATATTTTTTTGAGTACAAGAAGAGTTTAAGTTTAATTCTGCACGAAAATATTTTTTTGTAAAATTTTGTTTATAGTGAATTTATTGTTGTTTTAAACTTCCTTGTTGTTTGTGCATCAGGTATATATTGAAGGAATGCTGAGACTTTTTTCTAATATTTTCAGACATTAGCAAAAACCTTTTTTCTTGCTACCTGCTAAATTTCATGAAAAAAAGCACCCCCAGACACCCTACAAACTCAACCAAAATACGTACTTTTTTTTTGACTTGAGCTCCGCTAAAGGCTATGTAGTGTAGGCTATAGGCTCCGCTATAGATTGTGTGTAGCTATACATTGTGTGTATACGCTATACATTGCGTGTAGGCTATAGGCTCCGCTATAGCCTACACACAATTAGTTGGGGGAGGGCGTATCACAATAAAAATTTGAACATTAGTAATTTTTAAATGTAAATAATGATATAAAATAATATTGAATAGTATATATAAAATTAATGAAATATAAAAACCTAAAAAAAAAAAAAATTTCAATGAAAAACAAAAATTTCATTTAAAAAAACCTAGATTTTGAACATATTAAATGGTGTTGTAGACGCCTTTTTAACGCCCCGCATACATATTTTACGTATCCTTATTCTCCTTTTTAGGACTTTTCTTTTGATACCAAGTTCTATAAATTTTGATAAGAATTGACAAATTTATGACATTTTAAGTTTAAGAAACCGCGGTTTCTTTAACAAATCCATATATCAAAAAGTTGGTACTTAAAATGCTGTGACTTTTTGTAGAATTATTCAGTTTTGATAATTTTTCACCTTTAAAATACTGTTTTCAAGGTCTTTCCAATAATATATAACAATCTAGCGTTTGATTAATTTAAAAATATCATGTCACATACCTAATATATCTACCTAATAAGCTAATAGAGCTTAATAAACTCTATATTCTATATAACACTTAGCTAGATTAGTTGATAATTTATATATCATTCTTTACATTATATAGGTATCTTTTCTGGAAACAGGTTAAAATCAGGTACAAATTTATCATTTTAGATGGTTTAAAAGCACTTATTCCTGGAAAACACTCTAAGAAATTAGAAATTTTAGAGTAGGATGTGTAGTATAATACAGCTTAATACAGCTTAAATATCTACCTTGGAAAATTATATCTTAATTATTACCTAAATTATTTAAAAAATAATAATTTTTTGTATATTTTTTTACTTTAAAAGGAAAAAAATTTTACCTTTAAAGATATTATTTTTTACCTTGACGGTAGAAAATTTTACCATATTAAGAGCATATCACATATTCTACTCTGCGGTAGAACTTCTACCTTTTTTTATAAGCGCAATACTAGCAATAAATGTTGTACAAAAATGCTTTTCTATTTTTATTAATAAGTAAAAAACTTAATCAGAATTTTAATAAATACTTTGAAAATTGCTTATATATCAAAGCTTTTTAAATTAAAATTCAAAAGCTCATATATAAATTTTTGTTTTTATTATGCTGTATTGCAATTTATATATTAGCAAATAAAAAAATATACTTGATGCAATAAAAATGATGCTAAAGTCTGCCACCAAATATTGCATCACTAGCCTACATAAATCAAACAGAATTCAATTAAAAAAAAAGTATAGTGTATTAAAAGAATATTACAGAATTTTATTTAAAAATCAGTGTATTAAATTAGGTTTGAGTACTATAGTTTACTCAACGGTTTACGTAATTATAGAGAACTACTTATTTGGTTACAATCATTTATTATAAATTATGAAGAAGAGCTGATACAAAATATACATAAGAAATAATATCAACTAAAAACTAAGAGCATGGCAAAACATGCAATGCACAGTGGGAAATAGTTTAAACCAATTGTTTATTCGCGTGAAGCCAAAAAGGCTTTAATAAGGTAACAGAATTTTATTTCAAATCGTGATTTTAAGTTTGAGCTATGATTTATTATAATTATCTATTTTGTTGAATGCAGAAAAATAATATCTCAAAATTTATCTTCAACTAAAATAAGATATTTCATGTTAATTATCTAATTTCAAAGTCTGCAGTATATGATGCAGTATAAAGCTGCAGTATATGATGATATACTTGACTAATCTAGCTGACTTTTACAACTGGTGCTACTGCATTAAAAACGTTTCTTTTGCTTTAGAAAGCAATCAAAATTTGTAAACTAAATTTCTTAAAAGTTGTTGCTTGTAACATACGATGATGTTTCTGCAAATTGCAAGTTGTTGAAAAGGTATTTTAAATGATTCGTTTATACGTAATCCACCACATTAAAATAAGACAACTTGTTACTGTCTTATCTAAATATGATTTATCCAACTTAAAACATTCCGAAAAAAAAGATATATGTAAGGATGGTAAGATTATACTGTAAAACCGTATTGCTTATCTATTCTATGAAGACAGAGAATCTGGCTTTAAAAAAAAAAAACTTGCTGCCGAGGTATTAAGTTTTTGCTGTATTAAAAATTTTTATTACGTTATTGAATAGCTTATTTGAAAATTATTTTTGACACTAACAATCACTTAGTGCTTGCAAGGATAACCCATCTTTTAATGACTTTGGCTTCAACAATAGCAAAATAAAAAAAATAAAGAATATATTTAGTTGCTGGAAATGTAATGTATTAAGCTACATGGGTAATATAAATTGGTAGTAATATAGTATTGAGAGATGCAAAAAAAAAATCATGTTATTAGATTTGTTCAAAACTAAATATTTTTTATATTTGTAAAATATATGTAATGTAAATGTTGTCATTATTATTTAAAAATTTAAAAGACAATTATATTATTTCTATTATTCAATCTTTTATTATTATTTTATTATAAAGTTACTACACCATAAAACTATTAAATATACATGAAGCATTTATTTTACTACTCAAGGAGCTAATTATATACCAATAATATTTTTAAAAAATATGTGGCTATGAAAATAGCCGGTTTAGTAGGTTCAAGTCATCTCACTTTCTCTTTAATGTCCTTGTTCAAAATAGTGGGTGCTTTTTAATTGATGTTCTTTATATATCAATTTAGTTTGACAGTTTGATTGACTGAAATTTTGAATGCCTTTAGGTTATTTTTTGCAATGTAAAATCTTGTATATAAAGTGTTAGATGATCATGCATATTTAGCAGCAAGCAAATACGATAAACACTGCTCATGATACAACTTAGACATGTTAGAACTAAAACCAATTGTAAAATTAGAGGTACCAAAACGTTCCCACTAAATCATAATAGAATGTTTTTGTAATGTACTGGGAAAAATACTTAAACGTTAAAAAGACGTACCAGTTAGATAAACAAAGACAAGATTTGCTACTTTAAAACAAGAAAGAAAAGTACAATTTTGGCAAAGTTTTCAAAAGAAATTGTTTTTTCAGAAAATATTTTGCAGAATCAGCTGTAAAAAATTTTAGCATTTCCATCAAATGAATCAGTTACATTTTTATGAGGAACTAAGCTGTAATGACTTCTTCTTGAAATACTTGAAATATTTATACTTGATTTTAAAATTTTAAACTCAGCTTATAAGAGAGTACCATTTACCTGAAGCAAGCTTTTCTGCAATCTATATTAAATAATTAAAACCTAATAGGATGAAGAATAATCTTTGCTTTCTTTTATTCTTTACTAAATGTTTATCAGTAATCTTGTCCTTGTGTTTGTCCTTGAGGTGAACTAAAATTGAGGTCTGTCTCAAACATATAGCAACTTAATAGCAGCTAAAACAGCATCGAATTCATTCAAATTTTCAAAGTCTGCGCTACAAAAATTCATTTTAAAAACATTTGATGCACTCTCAATCCGGTCACCCCATAAAGTTCGTTATTTTACGAAATCTATAGAAAACGGTCCGCGTTTTTAGGCTATGGTTAAACAAATTGCGTAAGATAAAAAAACTGTTTCGTGCATTTGCGTCGACATATATTATTTAAAAACTTAACGCTCCTGCATTGGATAAGCATAGACCCGATTCGAACAATTTGCCAATGTTATTTTGTAC